CGTTCATAACCCACATCATCCGGCCCGGATCCGATTTGGATCCGTTCATTTCCCACATCATCCGGCCCGGATCCGATTTGGATCCGTTCATTACCCACATCATCCGGCCCGGATCCGATTTGGATCCGTTCATAACCCACATCATCCGGCCCGGATCCGATTTGGATCCGTTCATTTCCCACATCATCCGGCCCGGATCCATTTTGGATCCGTTCATTCCCCACGTCATCTGGCCCGGATCCGATTTGGATTGGGTTTGGACCAAAGATAGATACAGACAAAAAGTAGCATACCAACTAGATTACTATATAAAAATCAGAAAACCTCCAGTTTAACTTTAAACACATAAAAACACTTTTATGGTGATGCTGCAAAAGTATCAATATTGGGTTCTCATTAGCAGTAAACAAGTTCTTAGGCTGCGCTTTGAAGCAATTGGTATTGCTGCTGGTCTGTAATAAGGTAGCACAGACACCAAATTGACAAACACCACTCTAGGCGGTCAATAAGAAGGCAGTTATACAAAAAGCATGAAAAATGTGATGAAAATCAATGTATTTAATAAAAAGAACAACAGTTACATGAAAAGTCAAAAGAAAAAAAAGTTCAAACACTCGTACAAACAATACAAAAACCTTGTTCTGGGATGTTATGAGGATGTGTGGTGGTCAGCAGGTTGAACTTCCTGTGTACGTCTTCTGGAGCTGCCCCTATCTGCTGCCAGATTGAACCATCTGATTGCATGCTTGCAAACTTCGTGTTCTGTAGAAGCACGGGCGACGGTGTTCTTTCGTACAGAATCTGGAATCACAAAAGCACATTTACATCTAAATGTTCACATATCCAACACAACCACAATTTTCTATACACATATCAACAATGTCTGTTTAAATACGTGCTAAGACTACATGTCAAGTATTTTTGCATTTATCACAAATACTTACTCAGGACCAATGTCTTTGATGCCATCTGGCTGAAAGACTTCTTCCCATTGACACCTTTCCAATTGATCAGCTTCCCAATGTCATCATGGAACATGTGGGCCAGGATGTTCCATGTAACACGTTTGGTGTCGTGGCCCCCAATCGCTGCCAGGGAGGAACTCTAAAATGAAACAAAGAAAAAGAATTAACAGTTGAAATTTCAACTCAATTTATTATATATCAGTTTTAACCTTTTGGAGCCAGGGTCATGCCACTACTCATATGATTGGTTTAAATTGCTCTAGCTGGAAAGATTTAGGCTCYTAATTAGTGACAAAAATAAAGACTACAAACTTTAAACAGGTTTCGGTAACACTTTATTTGAAGGGGTGTTCATAAGACTGACRTRACACTGTCATAAATATGACATAACACCTGTCATGAACATCAATGACTCCTCATGAATGTTTATGACTGTTGTCATTAAGTGTCATTTGGTAAATTATGACACTTATGTTATGTAAAATGGATTTCAAATGGAAAAAAAAAACTTACCAAATTCTGCTTTAGTTGAGAATTTGCAGGATCTTTAAGCCAGTCCTCCCAAATTTCCACTTCCTCCATTGATGTCAATGGAAACTGTACTGGGATAGGCATGTCGATGTCCTGGGCAGTTGGCTGAAGCCTGCTGGTAAGGTACTTCACCTGGGCAACTAGTATGTCTTGCTGGTTTTTTATGTGCTCCAGTAGGCTGAGAATCTGAACGTCTATAGCTGTTAGGAAAAATACAATTCAATCAACACTCTAAAAATGAAATGTTGGATTTACTTAACCATGATATGTGACCTGGTTCCACTTAACTGAGTTGAGTAAATTCAAAGCAACATGCTCGTGTTCTTTGGTTAAAAAACTGGCATGTTGCTTTGAATTTACTCAACTCAGTTAAGTGGAACCAGGTCACATAACATGGTTAAGTAAATCCAACATTTCATTTTTTACAGTGAACTTCAATAAAACTTGGGCAACACACTGAGGCAGATATAACAAGATTTTCTTTTTGTCTTTTAAAATAGACCAAAAACGTTGTCTTTAATTTAATAGAAGTCAGCTCAGTAGGAACACACAACAGTTGCATATGGGTTGTATAATGTATCTGCTGAAGTCGTTTTTCTATATCTGCACGGATCCTCCGTCTTAAGGTGGAGTTGGAGACAGGCCCAGTCTTTCTATTCATCTAAAAAAAATTCAGAAACAAAAGATGAATTATACCCAGTGAAGAAAGCTATTTGTTTCCAAAGATATTTCAGAATAAATCATTTTCTMAGAGTCATAACATCTAAGTACATAAACAAAAGTTGAAATAATATGTTAAAAAATAATMACAAGGCAGTGAACAAAATTAACATGGTCATCAGTTTTATCATGGTATGGTAAACAGTTTAGAAAATACAAAAAAGTAATGATGCCCATATGAGGTTAACAGTTAAGCTTGTTATCATGTTACTACATTAATTATTTTTATAATATT